GGAGAGGGACAAGCTAGGTGCGCTCGCGCCATATCTGACGTCCTACCCCTCCCTCCCATCCCTTACCATGGCGCTGATTTTCTCTATCCGCGGACGCGTGTCGTAGCGGACCTGTGGCTCCGCGCGCGCGTGCGTAATGGGTGGTGGTGCGCGTGCGTGCGTGCGTGCGTGTGTGCGTGGTTGTGGTGGTGCTGGTGCTGGAGCTGGTGCTGGTGCTGGTGCTGGTGCTGGTGCTGGTGCTGGTGCTGGTGCTGGTGCTGGTGCTGGTGCTGGTGCTGGTGCTGGTGCTGGTGCTGGTGCTGGTGCTGGTGCTGGTGCTGGTGCTGTTGCTGGTGCTGGTGCTGGTGCTGGTGCTGGTGCTGGTGCTGGTGCTGGTGCTGGTGCTGGTGCTGGTGCTGGTTGTGATGGTGGTGGTGGTGGTGGTGGTGGTGGTGGTGGTGGTGGTGGTGGTGGTGGTGGTGGTGGTGGTGGTGGTGGTGGTGGTGGTGGTGGTGCGGCGCGGTGTGGCGGGCGGATGGGCGCGCGAGAAAGAGGCCCGCGCTGGGGCGAGAACGCCATCCTGAACGACGGAGGCCAAACACCGATCCGAAAATGAGGCCCACGCTGCAGCGGGAGCACGATTCGGAACGATTCGGGAGCAGAAATGAGGCCGGCGCCTCGCAGGCGAAAACCCGTTTCCCGGCATATTGTGTAATTGTAGAAGGAGGCGAGCGAGGGCACACTGAGAAGGCACGGGAGGGGAGGAGGACAGGGGCAGTTCCTTACCACCCCAGGGCGCGCGCCCCCCAGGGGGAAGCAGTGCGCGGGCAGCTCAGCCCGACCCCCTGTCGCGGCGTCTCGGCGCCCCTCGCAGGTGCCGGGGCCGCGCAGGAGGCGGATGCAGCCTTAAGCACTGGCGGAATTGTTATCCTAAGCGCTGGCGGGCATATTATCCTAAGCACCCGCGGAAACGATCTGGAAACGCAAGCAGCGTTAGCACAGATCGGGATCGGCGGCGGGGCGCTGTCTACAGTAGGGCAGCGCCCCCAGCAGAAAACCAAGACCAGCGTGGCGAGTCGGCCTGCGCCCGGACGGCCCGCTGCCGGGGCGCGCCGCGCCGGCCAGCGCCGGCCGCCATGATCACGGCGCCCGCGCAGCCTTGCACATGGACGCTCAAGGCGCGGGGCAAGCTCCGGAAGAGCCCCAGCTTGTCCCGGCGCGCCCAGCGCGGCCATGCCATACCGCTCACGCCGATTCGCACGCAGCTCTCAATCACGAGGGGCGCGACGTCGGCGCCAGGGCACTTCGCCCGCTTCTCGCCCTCCACGCGGCACGCAGCGGCGCCGTCTCGAGGCGCGCACCGCCGTACCAGGGCCGAGTCTGTGCTCAACAGGTCGACGACGGTGACGTCGAGAAAGAACGTTGTGCCCTCCAGCTCAACAACGACGTCTCAGCGCGCCTCGGACATCGCGCCGCCCGGCCCGAGAGCGAACTGGGGCACGCAGGTCAGCGACAAGCCGGGCGGCAACGCGGTCACGGCTGCCATCGCACCGGCGCGCGAGCGCGCCACCGATATCACAGATGCCGGCGCGGCGACCCTCGTCGCCCAACTCCACGCCGCACACAGCCCCATCTGGCCGCCGGCCCCGGCAGCGGGCAGCGTCGCGCGGCCCGCGCGGCGCGGGTCGCGGGCCCGAGCGGCGGCGGGCAGCCGCCTGCAAGTTCGCGTCCGCCATCTCGTCGGACGCGGCCCCTGGCGGGTCTAAGAAGCGGCTCGCCTCCGGAGTGGGGGCGGATCTGATAGCTAGCTGCATGGCGCTGCGTAGCCGACCCAGGAGCTACCGCGCAGGTTGCGCTGGACTGCTCGAGTCAAGGCTCGCGGCATACCCTTGACGCGCTGCGGCTGGTCGCCCCCCCCTGCTCCAGGCCGGTCGCCGCGCTGCCCATGCCCTCCACGCGCCGAAGGGGGCACGCGCCGGATCTCCGCGACGGCGCCAACCCTGACCGCGCCCATCGCCTCGCACGAGGCCCCGAGAGCGCCGGCATGGACGGCGGCATCGGCACGCACCCCCGCCCCGCCAACGCTGAGGCCGCCGCGACGCAAGTCGAGCCCGAAAGAGCTAGACCACAGCGTCGTAGGCCCAGGCTTGCTTGGCGGAGATGGCGGCGCCGCGCAGGACGCGCCGCGGCTTCGACTGCGCGGCCGAGCGCGCCAGCGCCTGCGCCGCCTGCCTGGGGGGCCCATCTGCCGCGCGCAAGGCCCACAGTCTGTCGAGGTCGGCTCCGAGGGCGGCCGCGGCCGAAGCGAAGGGCCCGCCTGAGCCCCCAAAACCACGACGCGCGCACCTGCCCGCCGGATCGCACAACAGCGCGCCCCAAAACCTGAAGCGTTTCCACTTGGCACTGCTGGAAGTCCATCGGCAGAATGTTGCGCTCGACGCCCCGCAGCTTCAGCTTGGACCCGTTGGGCGCCACGCCGGATTCAACCAAGGCCCGGCGAAAGCCTGCGAGGGCCGCGGGGAGGCGCGAAGCGGCGCGCGTGACATATACGTCGTCGACGCAAGCCCGGAAGCGGACACCGCCGTCGGGGCCGGCGCCACGCGGGAGGGCGCGCGCCCGGTCGAGGGCCCGCTCGAGGCCGACCACGAAGGCGAGCAGCGAGAGAGGGCGCCCCTGGCCCATACCGGTCAGCTCGGTGACGGCCAGCACCTCCCCGTCGCCACCCCCCGGCATCAAGGGCGCGCCCGCGCAGCGCAGGCCAGGCGCGACGTTCGCCAGCTCCGGGAACGCAGCGACGACATCGTTGGCCATGACACCACGGCCCATGGAGCCGAAAGCATTTTTGATGTCAAGGAAATGTGAAACTCATTCGCTGTCTTGGAGCACGTCTGCTTGGACGCCACGGGCGATCGACTCGACGGGGCCCGACCTGCCAACGGCGCATTGCTCAACCCCCACAACAGCATTGATCAAGGTCTTGACCCCCGCAGGGGGCCAAGACCTTGATCACCGCGCGGAGCGCAATGCGCTGGGGCGCGGCGGTGATGGCCAAGGGGCCGACGTCGCCGTCACTCTTGCGGAGAATGAGCAAGCGCCCAGCTCGGGCGCATTGGTTCACAGAATCCGGCGCCTGGCCGCCAGCGAACTGGACGGCCGCGATGGCGAAGTGCTTCGCGTTAGTCGGGGGCCGCCGAAGAGGGCGCCCAATGCCCGGAGCGGCTGCCATCCAACGAAGGACCTGCCTTGCGGGGCATTCGCTCGCAGACCCGCTGCACGTGCCGGCCAACCGCCCCCGGAGAATCCTCGCGCCCATCGACGTTTCGGCTTCGGGCACGGGCCGGCGCGCCTGCTCTGGAAGGACCCCCCCCTTGACATTGCCCAGCTCGCTCGGGTCTGCGACGCGGAGGGCGGAGCCAACAGCAGCCCTGCACGCCCAGCCCCACTCACCGGCCGCACCGAGTGCCTCAGCGCGGTCGACCAGGCGCTTCAAGTCGTCATTCCCGGGGGGCGCACCGCTGAAGTTCGCCCTGAAGGCGACGCGCGCCTCGCCCCATAAAGCCGCCCAGTCGTCCCGCCACAGGAGACGTAGACGATCCGCGGTTACCCGTTTGCGCCACTGCGTCGCGCAGACATGCAGGAGTCGCGCAATTTGGCCGGCGCGCGGGCGCGCAGGAGGCGGTCGAAGAGCGCCAGATGGCGCCAGCCCCGCCCCCAGCCAGGCCCAGCCCCAACGGCGCATGCGAAGGCAGCACCCTCGGCCCAGACGAAAAATAATGGCAGAAAGAAGGACGGGCGCCCTCACCCAACGGGCCAGGGCGTGCTAAGATCTCCGGTAACTGATTAACAGTATTAACAGTATTTCTAGTTCGCGCGCGCGGGGCGGCCCCTGGGGGTCCCCCGGCGAAAAGTACCCCGACCAACGCCCGACCGCCGCCCGACCGCCGCCCGACCAAGTCTACTCAGAGATGGTTTTCCTTCTGGGTGCGGCCTCTCAGGCTCCCCAGAGCGCGCTCAGAGTGCCCCAAGAGGCCCCCAAGACTGCCCAAGAGGCCCCCGAGACGCCCAAAGAGCGCTCGAAGACGCCGAAGATGACCCCAAGACGGCCCAAAAGGCCCCCAAGACAGCCCAAGAGGCCTCCAAGACGCCCCAAGAGCCTTCCAAGAGGCCTCCGAAGAGAGCCCCAAGAGGCCAAAATCGTTGATTTTCATTGGTTTTTCGATGTTTTTTGTGTTTTGGATTTTTCGGCTTCCGGACGCTCCAAGACGGCCCAAGAGGCCCCCAAGACCGCTCCAAGACGGCCCACGAAGCTCCCAAGACGGCGCCGAAACGACCCAAGAGAGCCCTCAAGACGGCCCAAGTGCCGCCCAAGACGGACCAAGAGGCCCCAAGACGGGCCCAAGAGGGACTCAGGAGGGATACCGAGAACTCAAAAATGGAGCCCTCCGTCCCAGAAGGCGCCCAGGAGGTCCCAAAGAGGCCCCAAGAGGCCTCCAAGAGGCCCCAAGATGTCGCCAAGAGGCCCCAGGAGACTCCCAGGAGGCCCAAAAGAAGCCCCAGAAGGCTTCAAACATGTCTCCCAGGCGCCCCCGAACGGCCTCTCAACAGACCCCAAGAGGCCCCCCAAAGAAGCATCTTGACGACGACTCTATTTCGCCCCATCGAGAGACGACCCCCAGGGAACTGCTTCACCATCAAAACTCCCCACACAACGCGTCCGAACGACACCCGCCCCCAAGAGCGCAACATGGGCAACGAACACACAGACAAAAACCAGCGATGCCATATCACGGGCCGGCGGAATGAGCGAAGCGATTCAATAATGGCAGAAAGAAGGACGGGCGCCCTCACAGGCCCGCGCCACGCAACGCAAGGCCTGCCCGACATCCGCGGGGCCCCGCCAGTCGAAGTTGCGCAGGATGTTCTCTTCGAAGGGCCCACGGCCCAACATGTCGGGGGGGTCGGTCTGCGGGGCGGCCGCCGGCGCTTCGGCGTCGAAGGAAACGGCGACGCCGCGGCTGACGACGTCCTGGAGCTGCGTTTCCGCGACACCGTCGGCGCACTTCGCCACGATGTCGCCTGCGTGCACACCGCCATGTACACAATCAGATCAAGGCGAAGGAACGCACCACTGCGGGCCCTCGCCAATGGGAAGCACCGTAACTCGCCAACGCCCAGTGGCTCGCGGCAGCTTTGGCACCCTGCAAGTTTGCGCCACTCGGGTTGAACATCGAGCACAAATCGGCGAGACACCTGACGGCCTGCAGGCCGCAAGCACGTTCCTGGGACGCCGCGCCTCCGGGATCTGAGGGCGAGGGAGAAGAAGAAAAAAACGATTGCCCCTGCAGTCTGGCGCGCCGGCGCGGAGGTTTCGGTCTCGGGCCGCTGCGCCCCTTTCGCCGCGGCTTGATTCCTCCCCCCCATCCGCCTCCCCCCCCCTCCTCATTCTGCAATATATCCCGAAGAATTCAACGAATTCAGCGCGGTAACGCGCGCTCGCTCTACCCGCGACGCCCGGATGAGCCGGGCAGCCATGCGCCGATAGCTCGAGCCGAACAGCGTCGGCAACGACAGCTGCTCAACTCACCTTAATCACTCTGCTTCCCCATTTGCTATCACATGCTTGAACGCCCCCACCCCCACCCCCCCACCCCCACACCGCCCCCCCACCCCGCCCCCCATCGGCTGGCACAGCCGTCGAAGCAACGGGAGAACTGCGCACATGGAGAGATCCACTAAAGTAGGGAATGGCTGATTTCGCTGTTCATGAGCCAACACTCTCCGTAAACAAATCTGCGGCGTCTACATGCATGCGCAAGACTGTCGTTCACGCTCACGACGCAATGAAAGAGGGATGAGAAAAGGTAAACTGAAATCTATGAAACTCTGACGCCGAAGAACTCATATAGGCCACCCAACACTCCGATCACAGCCGCGAAGTCGCCCTTCCCGCCGGCCTCTGCACGGTATGGTGACCCAGCGTGCTCGAGCGGCAACGTGGGCTGCGGCGCTCCCTCTGAACGTGGCCCATTTGAATGGCGTCGTTGCACGCCTGGCTCCTCTCCTCTTCATTAATCCAACACCCCCGGCCCATCTGGCGAATGGCGACGTCGGCGCGGGAATGACAAGTGCCCAAGGCTGACCAGTAAGACGCGCCCGGGGCGCAGACGCACAGGGGGGCCCAAGGGCAAGCAGAATAAGGCGGGGGGGGGCAAGCGCGGCCGCGGCTCAACGCGCGCGCAAGAGACGGAAGAAGAAAAGAACGCGGGGGTCCTCATCATCGTCCTCCTCTTCCTCCTCTTCCTCCTCTTCCTCCTCCTCCTCCACCTCCTCCTCCACCTCCTCGTCTCCCTCCCCCGTCTGCTGACATCCTGCCGCGCCCTTCCCGCCGCCCCGCCCGGCCGCCTGTGCGGGGACTCCCCGATGGTCACCTGGGAACGGCGAAGCCGTGGCCAATCGCGGCGGGGGGCAGGCGGCCCCAGGGGAGGCACGGGCGACGCCCCCTACACACATATGCACACACATATACACCCTGCGAAATGCTTAAGAAATCATGGGTTAAGAAATTCATAGTCTCAGAACTTCAATAAAAAACCCAAAATTTCTATTCAAATCTTAGGATTTACATTGAAACGTTAAGAATAATCGAGACTCTGGCCGAAAACTTAGGTTTTCTTAAGCATCGCCTAAGGTGTACTTTTACGTCGCAGCGCGGCTGAATCACTCCGCGCGCGTGCGCGCTCAGGCATTCCGGGCAGCGGAAAGCGCACATGAACCGGCGGCAGGGGGAGGGAAAGACAGGCGAAGCCGACTGCGGGGGAGGAGACAGGGAGGGGAAGGCACTCACATGGCGAGGGGCGTCGCCGTGGAGCGGCCGGACAGATATTTTTCAAGCCGGCGGCGCAGAGGGTCCTCAGGCACGGGCAGCAGATGGAAGTGCAAATTGCGATCGAGCACCGTCGAAAGCACACTGCACGAAGCGTCGCACTTTGAATAATGCAATATGGATGGCGTGGAAGAGGAACTGCAAGTCAGCGACCAGAAAACCGAGGAGACACTAAATTCAAAGTAAACTTCGAATTGACGCAAGCAGTCCGGCTCGAATTGGCGGCCACTGCAATCACCGAGGGCGGTGTTTGACAAATGAAACGCCACAAAAACTGCTACAGCTGCCAGACCAGCCGATGGGCGAAATGTAGAGGGAAGAGAACTATGCACATGCACCGATTCTGGCCAGGCCCATCCTGAGCCCAGGATCGGTGCATACGCCCTCCTACCTTGGCCAGGAAGGCATATGCACCGATCCTGGGTCAAGGATGGGCCTCGCCAGGATCAGTGCATGTGCATAGTTCTCTTCGCCCGAGAAATGAGCGCTACCAAAGCACGGTCCGACAGGGCATGGATAGGGCGTGAGATTTCAGACACACACACACACACACTTGGCGTCGCGGCCCCGCGCGCGGCGACGGGGCGTGGAAGATCGCGCGCAGCCTGTGAAGCGCGCGCGTCTGCGCCCGGCCGAACCACTCAGAGACCGCACGCACACACACACACACACACACACACACACACACACAAACACACACACACACACACTTGACAACGATGGAACGGGATGTCGTCGAACTGCCAGCTCCCTTCATATCCCCCCCCACCTTCCGCGAAGTATGTACGTGGAGGTACGTTTTCACGTCAACATAGGGGAGTCTTCGTTGGCCAGTGCCCCATATGTTGACCACTGGCCCCCTCCAACGTACACTCGGCACCCTACCCATCCTGACTATCGGATCGGCCGCCCCTTGGACACAGGGGTTCCACGACATATGGGTTTGGTCTGGATGGTGGTCGCCCCCGGGCTACATGCCACAAGGTCGTCGAATGCGATATTGCTACCTGGTGGAACGGGATGTCGTCGAACTTACGGCTCGTTTCCTCCCTCCCCCCGCCGTCCCGGCCCCCCAAGTTCCCACCCGAAGGTTTGTGAATGCTTCCCGGCGCGGCAACAACGGGTCAAAACCGAAGGGCTGGCATTGCCCAAGCGGCCATCCTTCCAGACGAGCGCCCGCCCTGGGCGCCCAACCCGTTGCGGGGCCCTCGGATCTCACGAACGTTTCCCTTCGCGAGGCCTGGCCCCCCCCCAACCTCCGCAAAGGCAACGCCCCCTGGCGCGCCAACAACGGGTCAAAACCGACGGGATGGCATTGTCCAAGAGGCCATCCACTCAGACGAGGCGTCCAGACCGTTACGGGGCCCTCGGATCTGACGAACGCTTCCCTTCGCGAGGCCTGCCCCCCCCCCAACCTCCGCAAAGGCCTTGGCAGCCAAGCCGAAAAACAAGAGAGGAGGGGGAGGAGGAAGGCCGAAGCGCGAAGGGAATCGACGTCTGGAGTCTGGAGCACCTCGCCCTCCGCGGCTGGGCCCCAACTGGCCGGGCGAAGGGAAGGAGGGCGTCTGCCCCGGATTCGGAACTCCCGACCGGCGCGGGCCGACCCCCACCCTCGCCCGTCACCTCGTCCTCCGATCGGTCCACACCCCGCCTCCACCCTCCTTTACCCCCGCCGTCCGTCTCAAGCTCCTGCCCTCTCCGAGCGACAAACATGGAACGCCCGGCCTGCCGGGAGACCCGCCCCTCGAGAGCCCCAGGCGCGCCCAGGCTGGCATCTCGGCCGGCGCTAGTGCCCGACCACCCCGCCCCTAGGCGCCATTCAGATACGGGGGGGGGGGGAATCGTTATTTTTCCCAGCCCTGCACTACCCCCTTGAATTCCCAACGAAACAGTGCATCCGCTCCTCTCCTCTCCCCCCTAACACCGCCCGCCACTCATCCCAACCCTTTCCTCTGCCGGGTTCTGGGTTCCTCGGCGCTTTTTTCCCCCTCGCCAGCTGCGCGAAGTCGATCTGCAGTAGGCTCGACAAACAAACCCCGATTGAACGGTTTTCTACGCCGTCGCGAAGAACTAGTGGACCCGGCCAGGTAAAAGGTCGAGGGTAAAGGGTAAAGGATAGAGGGTACAGGGTAGAGGCAGGTAAAGTTATGGTAAAGTTATCCTTCTCCGCGTTGCCGTCGCAGTGGTAAAGGCATGGTAAAGTTATAGTAGAGTCTTCTGGTGGCTATACGCATGCCAATGCGGCAGCAATTCAATGGCGGACAACTCCGGCCACCTAGCTGCGGCTCCGTCGCTGCGACACCCGCACAGCCGCAGGTGGAGGAGGTTGAGAGGGGGAGAGGAAAGAAAGGAGCGGAGGAGAGAGAAGAAATGCAAAACAGATGCGGAAATCTGAACAGTTACCGGTCACATGCAAATGCGGAAATGCCTCCGCAATGCTCGCACGGAGTGGGCGGACAGACGCGCGGCGGACAACTCCGGCCGTCTAGCTGCGGCCCAGGGGCCTTCCAAAGGGCGCGTGCGTTTCAAGGGTAACCGCATGACTGGAGGAAGCAAAACTGGGGGGGGGGCCCAATGATGTAGCTGGTGTCTCCCTGGTTCACTGCGCGGCCTCTAACTCTAACCGAAGCAACTCCCAACTATCGTGGACCGCCTCGGCCGGCTCGATGGCAAGATCCCCTAACACTCCCAGGCATTTTTGTCCCGACCGCTCGGAAGGCGGCGACCACATCACTTCTATTGTGGCCAAGCGCAGTGTACACAATAGCTAACTGCACTATATCTCTCCTCGCCTTGGGAACGGGGTAGCTGAGTCGAACAGCCTGGCGCGTTCTACCTAGAAGCCCTGCTAGCTTAACCGCCCTACTGCCACCCGACGCCCTGCTCCTGTATCTGCAACGATGGCGCGGCGGGAAAGGTAAGCCGCCATCTCCAACCGAGATGCCAGAAAACCCTTCGACCGTGCACTGCGCTTCTACTCCTAGTCCGACGGACGAAGTTGGAGACGGCAGTAAAGGCTTAGAAAGTAAAGGACTCGGTAAAAGATGTTGTGAAAGATTTGGTATAGGGTAAAGCGGCCGCCGTTGGCGGTTCTTGGGCATTCGCGGGTTTTGCGAATGGACTTCCCGCCCCTTCGCGAACGAAGAGGCACACACTTTTGGTCGGCGGGGCGAGAGCGAACCTCTTCCGCTGAAAGCTAGGCGGGCTACTTAAGAAAAGGCACACACACACACACACATACACACACTTGACAACGATGGAACGGGGTGTCGTCGAACTGCACACAGCGACCCAAGACGGCCCAATGAGGGCCCCCAGCTGGCCCAGGAGAGGTCCCCAAGACGACCCCCGAGGGTTCCCGAGCGGGCCCAGGGGCGCCTCCAACACGGCCTCCCC